ATAATAGTACGAAATGTTGCTAGATCAATTTCAATATTTTAGTTTGACAAAAATTGCTAATAATTTGTTTAAAATATGTCAAATTGAATGTTAAATATTTGAAAAATGAAAAATTAATTTTATTACGATTAAAAAAGCGAGCTTTTCTGTGCATACCTAGTGTAGCATATTCCCAGAAATATTCTTCGTTTAATTGTACATATGAACAGTTGCTTTATAAGTGACGCAGTGTGATTGATATGGTGTATATATAGAATCCAGATGCGTATGTATTTATTACGCATCGGAATAGGAGATGATTATGTTAAAAATATGCTATTTATGTGTAGAATAGTCTAAATGACTTTCTACCAAAGATCATCGGAATTTAAAAGAGATAAAAACAAGGGTTCTTTTATCAATAGAAATGATATATAACAGCGAAATAACAAGACAGCACGACAGAACACGATTATTAAAATAAGTAATGAAGATGAGACAGACACGTGTCTAAGACATGTGTATGAAAATGATTAAAGCGAATAAAAAGAGGAAACCATTTATTGAGATAATATAATGAGATATGGTGATAAGATAAAATGTTATATTTTTGTAGATTTGTTATTGCGTAAAATGCATTAGGACAATGAGAAACTTTATATAATTTGAGTAAAATGACAGTTAACGAGTCTGAGAAGTTAAAAGTTAAAGGAGCAAGATCCTGTGAGAGAGAGAGAGAGAGAGAGAGAGAGAGAGAGAGAGAGAGAGAGAAATAGAGTGAGAGAAAGAAAGATAGAAAGAAAGACAGACGGAAGTGCTTTAAATGGCATGTTAAGAAAATGACATCCGCGGATAAATTTTGCTGAAAAGAAAAAAAAAAGAGGAAAAGAGAGTCCCATGTTCTCCTACATTTCCGAAGCTCTCAGTTTTCTGAGTTGCGTGTAGGAATAGGAAAAAGATATATAACATATATATATGAATAACAGAGATGAATTATAACTAATAATGTCAGCTTCGATATGCGCCGAGCATATGTGAAAAATAATTCGACTGTTTTACACGATGCATATGCGAAGTAATCAACATTTGCTTAACGTATTTGTCACGACGAGCGTTTGTAAATCATACGTTTCACGGATACATGTAATATGATTTTATAATCACTCGAGTCTCATAAACGACTTATGATTAGCGTACGAACGCTTACGATTACTTTGCAAAGTACGTTGCAATGCACGATCGCTGATACGATATTCTTTTTTGAAAACGTAAATTTCGAGAATTGACAAAGCCGTTCGTTTTGAACGCATATATATAT